AGTGAGACTCCGTTTCAAAAAAAAAAAAATACAAAAATCAGCTGGGCGTAGCGCCAGGTGCCTGTAAACCTAGCAACTCGGGAGGCTGAGCTGGACAAATCACTTGAACCCGGGAGGCGGAGACTGCAGTGAGCCGAGATCGCGCCACTGTACACCTGGGCGACAGAGTAAGAGACTCCGTCTCAAAAAAAAAAAAAAAAAAAAAAACAAATTAGCTACAGAAGAATAACCCAAGTTAAAAACAAGATTTTAAAGGCATATTACAGTTTAAACTGATGAAACTGAAGTCTTAAATGCTCATAAAATTAAATATGGATACCCTGAATTGTTTTAACCTTTTGGTAATAGCCTAGTTTAGAAGGCCAACTGATAATACTAGGAACCTGGCGCTTTCTTCAACTGTTCTAATTATTATTCAAAAGCAGAACGAAAGTGTCAGTAGTTACAATACCTACTGTTGCTACAAAGGTATGATATGATTACGGCAAATCGCGCTTTTTCGTTAAAGCAAACCTTGCTCTGCAAAGTTGATGTAAGTGAAACTACCACACCTGTAATCCCATGCAAGTTAGCTGATTCAAAAGCAAAACAGAACTTCAACAAAGCAAACTTCATTAAGTGGAGCTTTAAAATTTCATACATTTTATGTTAAAAAACCTAGAATCCATATTGTAAAATGTCAATGCGGACATTCAAGACCTGATATACTTTTCAGTAGACAAACAAGGTATCTAAGGGCCTTGAGAGCCAACGTTTTCACTGTTTACAATGCCAATTAATTTTCATCACCCCAGAACTTAACAATGGGGATTTATTTATATATTCAACATCCTCAACAGTCAACATAAGCGCCATGTGTGTCAAAGTGATATGACAAAACCCTAGAGCTCCTGAGCACACAGTCACAATACACACAACATGCACACCCTCCATTCCAATCCTGGGGGACAACTCACTTGTTCAGATTTCCTAGATGACAGAAACAGGTCCTTTCACCCACTACCCATGCCCACTCCAAACTGGTCAAACTAGTTGTTGAGTAAAATTTAAACAACTGGTTAATCAAAACTTTTTACTTGTTGACTGGTTTTGGCATCTAGAGAAAGTCTTAAAGTAATTCTGGGATAAAAGCCCATTTACCTATACTCAGGCCAAGATACAAAACACCATTAAAAATACTCATTTAGGAGCACTTTACACCAAAACTATTCCATAAAGAAGGGGAGACATTCTACTTAGAACGGAGCTCAAATGGGATAAATTAAGAATTATTCCTAGAAAATGGAAAGATAACACATCAGGAATAGAAGTATTTAAGCAAGAAAAAAAGTTAATTTTTGTAAATCTCATATATTTTGAAGGCAACTCAGAGACAGTCTGTGAGCATCTCAGCTAGGAAAAATGACTTCACCCTAGATAGAACCTACAGGGCTAATCAATCTGAACATCAGGGCACAGAATCCTTTTCCTTTAGTGTGGGGGCATTTTCAGTTCAAGAAAGCAGCATGGATATTTGGAAGCTAGGTCTTGATGCTTGGAAGAGCATCTTTTTTTAACTCTGCACTGTCCAGTAAGTTAGCCACTAGCCACGTGTGGCTACTGGAACACCTGAATTGTAGCTGGTAAAAATTGGTAACTAAATTTTCAATTCTATCTACTTAAAACTTTAGTTCCTTAGTCACACATTTTAAGTGCTCCATAGGCACATATGCCAAGTGGCTACCTGTTGGATGGCACAGATAGAAAATGTTGCTATTATCACAGAAGATTGTATTAGATATCGCTGTTTAGATCCTTTACGCTGTTATCATAGAAAGTTGTATTGGATAGCGCTGTTTAGATCCTTTACCCAATCATGAATATTCTATCAGAGACCATGATTTAATTCCTATTTTTAAACTATGTAACAGGCACCAGGCTATATCTTGTGGTGTTACAAATAAACAAGAAGGTCTAGTTTCTCCCTCAAAACATAATCTAATGACAAAGACGTAACCAGTTCAAATGAACAGCTAGTAGGAACAAATCAAATGCTAAACTGGTATGACGGGGTGGAAGGCACTCATTAATTCTAATAAATGAAAGCACTACAGTTTGGTTGGAGTCAGCTGACCACCTTCACTTATTAAATGCACCGAGACACTGAGTACTTGAAAAAGAACACATTTTGGCATCAGGCAGCCCTGGGCTCATGCCCTAGCTATATGTCTCTGGACAAAGCATTTAATCTCTCTATAACTTTATCGTCTCATCTATAAAATGAGGATAATAATGCTGGCCTACTTGCAACATAAGGCTCTACCATATAAGATTAGGGATAACGGAGCTTCATACTCAAATGCACTCTCTAATTTGCTTTTTTTCAGTAACTCAACTAGCGTGAGGTGAGGAATCAAGAAAGAGTCACAAAAGAAGTGACACCTGGCTGCGCGTGGTGGCTCACGCCTGTAATACCAGCACTTTGGGAGGCCCAGGCGGGAGAATCACGAGGTCAGGAGATGGAGACCATCCTGGCTAACACGGTGAAACCCCGTGTCTACTAAAAATATAAAAAATTAGCCAGGCGTGGTGGCGGGCACCTATAGTCCCAGCTACTGGGCAGACCGAGGCAGAACAGCATGAACCCGGGAGGCGGAGCTCGCAGTGAGCCGAGACTGTGCCACTGCACTCCAGCACAGGCAACAGAGCGAGACCCCGTACATCCACTTGAGACGGACTTTAACTGCCTTTTGAGGTCCCACCCAATAGAATTCTATACAGTGGCAATTCACATCTCAGCAGACTCTACAAATAATTTCTGAATGGCACACTGGGGTACATGAAGAAGGCCCCATAAACTCCAGGCTCTACCTCTCCCCGCAACTGCCCGAAAGGCTGCAGGGATCCCTATCTTAGTACAGTACGCAATACTTGGAGGGTCCCTGCTAAAGGGCTAGAACTGGGTCTTCTAAAAAAAATCAGGGATTTTGGTGTTTGCCAGCCTGATGTAGTCTAAGCCTCAACAGTTCAAAACCCTTGAAAATACCACTTAGCCACTTCAGTTTCCTCGCCTGTAGAGCAGGACATCTGTGGTGTCCTCAACTCACCGATAGTAGAGAATACTTGTAAAGCCACTTCCTTTGCTATAAAGGCCTACCACATATAGGGTGTCCGGAGCAGCTCGGAGCTTCATTTCTTCAGTCTTCCATTATGAAACTCATCAGGGAGTGCAGGTGCCCATCTTTCCCCACCAGACCGTAAGCAACTTGAAGGCAAAGACCATGCCTCACAGTGAGTAATCAAAAGTCTCATCTCACCATAATCTGTTGAATGCCTACAATGTGCCTGACCCCGTGCTAAAAGTTCATTTGGATTATCCTGTTTACTTCTCACCACGAGATGAGTCTCAATTTTTCCTCTTCTGCAAAGTTCCCACTTTATAGGGCTTCAATAATGTTTTTTGATGGCAATGTATGTAAAGATATCAGTACTGCACTTCGCATGTAATAAAGACATAGTAAGTATCAATTATCCATTCTGTAGATAAGAAAATGAAGGGACAGACAGGTTAAGTTGCTGGGGTCAGTAAGGCGGCAAAGTCAGACTTAAATTCTAGGCAGTTGGCAGAGGCAACACGCTGTAAGTGTCCAAGCCAGTGCCTGGCACATAACAGACTGAGTTCAATGAATGTCTGTCAGAACCTGAGCAGGCCCTGAAATCAATGACAGCTGCATGAGAGGAGAGGAGAGGTAAGGTCTGGGTCGGGTGGCTCCTTAACCTAAGACGGGAAAGACTATCTACTTCACAGGGCTGTTCTAAGGACTGAGTGTGAGGATATATATATATACACAAAGGTCTTAGGATAGTGACTGGTATGGAGTAAAGGCTTTGTAGGGGGTAGCTATCCTTGCCTCCCTCTTACAGATGAGAAAACAGAGACACAGGGAGATGAAGAAACTCTCCCACTATTATTCAGCTGGCAAGTCGCTGAGCCAGCCAGCAGTCGATCTGCGGAGTCTAACTCCGGAGCCCACTGGCTTTTACTCCAAATACCCAGCACTGGGCCTGACATGCTAGGGCCAGTGCGGCGCTGAATGCAGCCGAGATAATAACAGCCACAGATGTCAGGCGGAAACTGAAGGGAAAATGGCTTGATGAACTCTAAGTCTGGACACCTGAGTCCCAGTCCGTGGAACCTCAGACAAGTACCTTAAACCTTCCCGGACCTCAGTTTCCTTCTTCGAGAAATGGGGCTAACCTTGTCTCCCATCTCAGAAGCTCGATCAGGCCTGGAAAGCAAGGCTCAATGAAGAGGCTTCGAAGGGCCTAACGTGTGGGTGGGCGAGAGGACAACCCGGGGACCGTCCAAGGGGTGGGGAGTTGGTGTTTACCTTTGCGGAGCTCGCGGTGCCACACGGAGACGATGGGTCCCGCGTGCTTGCGGTGGTGGATGAGCCAAAGGGACAGGGTCTGCACGCTCTGCTGAGAGTTGCTCAGCTCCGAGAGCTTCTTCTCCAGCGCCGACTCAGAGAACGAGGACATGGTGGCGGCAGTGAGGCCCGGCAGGGAGCGGCCTGGGCCGCCCAGTGCGGCGGGAAGAGCGACGGCACGAGGCCGGGACCTCACCTGACAGGCTGCGGGACTTTTTACCGACTGACAGACGGCCAGGGGGGCAAGGAGGGGGAGGGGATGGGTCTCCGCAGTAACAGCCGCCCGCGCCGCCGCCACAAGATGGCCACGCGACCTCTCACCTTACCGCGAGAGCGGGGTCAAAGGGCAAGGGCCAGAGCAGCTGGGCACCGAGAGGCGTCGGAGCTCTAGAAAACCGTCCCTTTGAAGGCGACGGCCTGTCTGAACCTCTTGCAGACCACTGCGAAGGAGACAGACCGAGGGAAGGAACGTAGTTCCCCGGGCCCCCGGAAAGGGCTTTGACCGCTCAAGCCCGCACGCCTGCGCAGTGGATCTCGCCGGAACCCTTTTTCCCGCTCCCTCGGAACCTTTCTGGCGCGGTACGGCGCGCTACTTAGCGCGTCACTTCCGGTGAGACAGAGGAGGCGGGAGAGTGAGGGAAAGGCTGGAAGACGAGGTAAGGGAAGAGTGGCTGGAACCAGAGGGAGCCCAACAGCTGGGAGCCCGTAGAGGGGTATCCTGAGGGGACACTGAGGCTGAGAGATCATGATCTGGGTATGGGAGGGGGGTTTCCTTTCTAATCTGGCGGGCCCCAGGCCGCACCTTTCCTCCGTACGTGTTCGGTTCTCTGGCTGTCCCCAAAAACACTTAGTTTTGGTTCTTCCAAGCCACCCACGTGCCCTTTTCACGCCTCCAGGCCCTGGCGCTCGTTCTCATTCCTAAAGTGACATCCCCTTTCTCACCTGGTGAGCTCCTACTCAGCCTTCCGGAGCACCCTTTAATGTCCGATTCTGACCTTTTAGTCTGTAACAGCGCCGTCATGAAACACATTTGGGCTCTCAGCTCTTAAGTGGGTTCTCAGGGTATTATTACATGCTGCTCTTGCCTTCTGGGGGTCCAGTTGACTTTTTCGAACTTAAGTGAGGTGTTAACTTTAGGGAAAAGGTGGAGGGAACTAACTTACCCTTCCCAATGTGTCTGCTGACCTCATGTTAAGACACGCTATTTGAGGCCTGGCGCAATGGCTCTTGCTTGTAATCCCAACCCTTTGGGAGGCCGAGGCGAGAGGATAGCTTGAGGACTGGGGTTCAAGACCATCCTGGGTAACATAGCGAAAATTAGCCAGGCATGGTGACGCTCACCTGTAGTTCCAGCTACGCGAGAGGATCCCTTGAGCCCAGGAGTTAGAGGTTACAGTGAGCTGTGGTCGTGCCACTGTACTCCAGCCTGGGCGACGGAGCAAGACCCTTGTCTGAAACAAAACAAAACACTCTGTGAGACTCTAAACCTTGACCCTTTTTTTTTGAGTGTTTAAATCCCAGTTATCAAAGCAGGAGAGAAATATCTTTCTTACTGCCACAGGGGTGATGGTAGGGAGTTAAGTTATAGACGTAAGAGAGTTTTAAAATTTCGTGATCGTGGTGTAACTTCCTAGTTGTGGGCAGACGCTAGTTTAGGAGACGTTCTTCTAATTGATGCCTGCTTTTGCTCTTATTGCACTGTATTGCAGTTCTTTGCTTACATGCTTTTACCCCTCCTCCAGACTAGAATCATAATCATAGCTAACACAGTGAGAGGTTACAATGTGCTAGACACAGTTCCCACACAGTAACTCATTTAATCCTCACAACAAAGCTATGAGGTATTATATTATCCCCCTTTTGACAGCTTAGGAGAGGTAAAGAGAGGTTAGGTTCAGAGAGGTTAAGTGACTTACCCAAGATCACTTTACTAAGATTTGAGGGAAGAGGCTGCAACTTAGCCATCTTTTTGGCTGCAGTTCCTGATTTATCAAGTGAGTTAGTGTAAAAGAGGTGAATAATCTAAAATCATACAGTGAGTATCTAGTCATAACTGAGGGCTTTTGTGTCAACATTTAGGTCTTCTTTCCATATTAAGTAACAGTGTCATATGCTGAGCGCTTTTATACCAAGTCACTGTCTGTTAAGCAAATTACATACTTTTTAAATTTAATTCTTACATCAGTCTTAGGAGTTGAGATTATTATTACAATCACTATTTGATAGACTAGAAAACATAAAGCATGGTTAAGTACCCTATGTACTTGGACATAGCTAGGAAATAGCAGAGGCAGGAGTCAACTTAGGTTTGTCTTATATCTGATCCCAAATTCTTGATTCCTGAACCAATAGTTTATTCATTCATTCAGCAAATAATTTTTCACCACCTATGTCCAAAGCGCTTTTCTAAGCTAACAGACAAAATCCATGTCCTCGGGAACTTACCTTCTACTGAGAAAGAGAGAAAACCAAACATGCAAGTTTAGAGTAAGTCAGAAAGTGGTAAGTAACTTCAATAAAAATCAAGAAGGTAAGGAGGATAAGGAATGTATATGTGTAGGTGGGCAGTCTTTTACTTATGCTTCTCGGAGAAGGCTTAATTGATGAGGTGACGTTTCAGAGAACAAGCCATATGCCATGGTTCCAGGAAGAGGGAAAACCAAGGTTATACCATTTTTGGCATTTTGGAGGAACAGCAGAGAGGACAATAAAGCTGGAGTGATATGAACCAGAAGGGTGGCTGGAAATTAACTCAGAAAAGTAGAAAGGGACTGCATCACATGGGGACTTGTTGGCGGTAACGTAGACTTAGATGTTACTCTGAATGAAATGAAGTCCATTGGGCAGTTTTGCACAAAGAAGGAGCATTGTGGCTATTAGGTAGAAAATAAGACAGTAAGGGTGCAAAGATAGAAGCAGGAAGAACCAGTCTGGCAGCTGTTGTAGTAACGGTGAAAGGATAACTCAAACCAGGGTTGTATCCGTGGAAGTGGTAAGGGACAGTTCTGGGATATTTTAGAGGAAGAGGTAACAGGATTTGCTGATAGATTGGATGTGGGGTGTGAAAGACATGTAAGAGTTCAGATAGCTCCAAGGGTTTTGGCCTAAGCAACTATAAGAATAGAGCTTCCATTTACTGAATTACAGCAAAGAGTTGGTTTGGGGAGTAAGAGCAAGCATTTGTATTTGGACATGTCCATTTGGAAATGCCTGAGTATAGATGTCTAAGGGCCAGTTGGGTTTATGGGTCTAGAATTCAAGGAAGAGAGATCTGGGCTAGAGATAAAAATGCGAGAGTCGTAACAGGGAATAAGGTGTAAAAAGAGACTGAGTCCTAGGACACTTCAATATACAGAGGTCTGAAAGATGAGGATGATAAGATTATGTGATTTTTCTTAAGCTTGTTAATATCTTGTTAATATTAACTACTCTAATTGATTTTCAAATATTGAGCCAGCCTTTCATCTCTGAAATATACCCCACTTTATCATGGGGTGGGTGTGGGGGGGGGGGTGTGTGTGTGTGTGTGTATTCTACATACTGCTGAATTTCCTAATATTTTGTTTAGGATTTTTGCATCTATATTCATGAGAGAAATTGGTCTATAGATTATTTAAATTTTTGTATTGCCTTTGGTTTGGCATCAGGATAATACTGGCTTCATAAAATGGATTGGAAAGTGTTTCTTCTTTTTCTGGAAGAGTATGTGCAGAATTGGTGTGAATTCTTCGTTAAATGTTTGGTGGAATTCTCCAATGAAACCATCTTGGCTTGGAGATTCCCTCCTTCACTCCTCGCTTCCCTCCATCCCTCCCTCCTCCTTCCTCCCTCCCTCCCTTCCTTTGCTTCTTTCTTTTTTTTCTGGAGTTTTTAAGTGACAAATTCAGTTTCTTTAAAAGTTATAAAGCTGTTAAAATAATCTCTTTCATATTGTGGTTGTGTTTTTTGAGGAATTAACCACTTCATCAAAGTTGTCAAATTTATATGGGTAAAGCTATTTGTGATATTCCCTGTCTTTGTTTTCTGTTGCTTATAACAGAATACCTGAAACTAGGTACTTTATAAAGAAAAAGGATGTATTTCTTACAGTTATGGAGGCTGACAAATCCAAGGTCAAGGGACCACATCGGATAAAAAACCTTCTTGCTGGTGGGGACTCTGCAGAGTCCCAAGGCAGTGCGGGATATCACAGGGCCAGGGGGCTGAGTGTGGTAACTCAGGTCTCTCTTCCTCTTATAAAGCCGCCGGTTCCCGTGATAACCCATTAATCCATTTATGAGGGCTTATAAGGACTGCACCTCCTAATACATTGGGAATTAAATTTCTACATGAGTTTTGGAAGGGACAGATATTCAAACCATAGCATTCCCATATTACCCTTTTGATGTCTGCAGGGTCTGTAGTACTATCCCGTTTCATTACTGATATTGGTAATTTCCAATATCAGTGTCTCTTCTCTTCTCTCTCCTCTCTCTTTCTCTCGCTCACTCACTCGCTTGTCAATCTTGCTAGAAGTTTGTCAATTTTATTGGCCTTTTCAAAGAACCAGTTATTTATTTCATTGTCCTTCTCTGTTTTCTGTTTCGTCAGTTTCTGCTCTTTATTATTTCCTTCTTCTGCTTGCTTTATTTCGCTCTACTTTGTCTAGGTTCTTGTGGTAGGAGTTTACCTTTTTTATTTGAGACTTTTCCCCTTTTCTAACATGTGACTTAGTACTATTAATTTACATCTCAGCATGGCTATAGCTGTATCCACAGATTTTGGTGTGTTATATTTTCATTTTCATTCATTTCCATGTTTTTTTTTCTAATTTCCCTTCCGTGGATTATTTAGAAACATGTTGTTTAGTTTCCAAGTATTTGGAGATTTTCCTGTTATCTCTCTGTTAAGTGATTTCAAGCTTGATTTCATTGTGGCTGGGGAATGTCACTCTGTATGATTTCAGCTCTTTTAAATTTGTTGAGGTTTGTTTCATGGCAGGATAATCATCTCTCTTAATATATGTTCTATGAGCACTTGAAAAGAATGTAGGCCAGGCATGGTAGCTCATGCCTGTAATCTTAACACTTTGGGAGGCCAAGGCAGGAGGATCCCTTGAGCCTGGGAGTTCAAGACCAGCCTGGACAACATGGCAAAACTCGGTCTTTACAAAATTCCAAAAATTAGCTGGGCATAGTGGCATGTACCTGGAGTCCCAGACACTCAAAAGGCTGAGGTGGGAGGACTGCTTGAGCTCGGAAAATTGAGGCTGCAGTGAGCCATCATCGAGCCACCGCACTGCAGCCTGAGCAATAGAGTGAGACCCTGTCTAAGAAAACAAATAACAACAACAAAAGAATGTGTAGTCTGCTGTTGTAGGATAGAGTGTTCGATAAATGTCATAGATCCTGTTGGTTGATGGTGGTGGTAAGTTTTTCTATATCCTTGCTGATTTTTGGTCTGGTTATTCTATCCATTGTTGAGAGAGGAGTATTGAAGTCACCACCATCTATTCTTGTGAATTAATGTGTTTCTCTTTTTAGTTTTGTACATTTTTGTTTCACACGTTTTGCAGCATATGCATTTTAAGATTGCAATATGTTCTTAGTAGATATACCTGTTATTCATTGTACTCTGTCTCTGGTAATTTTTTTCTTCTTTTGCTCTGAAGTATACT